TCCCTTGGGCCTCCGGAGCTGGGGCTGGGAGCAGGAAGGGACATGGGGGTGGCTTCCAGGCTCTTCCTCACACTTCCTCGGAGATCGCTTTACATAACTGGGCTGCTTAGTCACCGGTTTTTACTTTTTTTTGGAAACAATTTTCTCAGCATCACAGCCTCCTGTCTCCATTCCCTACGAGTCACTGATGCTAGGGAAGTCCCTTTTCTTCTGTTCCCTTGGCAACCCGGCATATTTGCCTTTCAAATGATCCAGGGCCTGGGCGGGGTAGGAGTTCCCTCCCCCTACACCCCTCCCTCCCACGCTGCCACTGCTGCCTGATTCGTCATCCCAGCGCCTGAGGCTCAGCCACCAGGGGAATGTGGGAAGCCAGGACTAACTCTCCTACCTCCATCCTCACCCTGGACCATCACTTCTCTTGGCTTAGAGCTGGATGGAAACTGAGAGACTCTGGCAGAGTGGTCAGAGTCCTCCATGCTGGACTCGAGGTGTGCTGGGCTTTCTTAATCCTCGGTGAAGAGCAGGCCCAGATTCCCAAAGGGCCAAAGGTGGTGGTAGGGCTTTTTTTTGATGTGGCCAGTAACACACTGGCCCACTCTGCTACCAGGCCCTAGGAGCAAATTCGTCTGGTTCTTACAGAACTTCTCCTTTCCTAGGCTTGGTGAGAGGATCTGGGATATGACTGCCATCTCCAACCCCTCCCTGCATCCTTCAACACTTCCCAGTGATACAGGGACAGCTACCTGTTCATCCCCAGAGGTCCTATATGGAGTACCATAGTCCCCAGGGAAACTGAGGCAAGGGGAAAAAAACCCATGTTAGGAAATGAGAAACTGGAAAAAGGTCCAAGGAATCTGGGTTCAGTCTACTCTTCACATCTTTTTAGTGATAATGAGAATGTACTTGGTCAACATTGCTAATGGTGATACTGTGAAACAAGACAGGACTCATTTGAACACATGGAAAGGACTGTATGAGATCATCTGGTTCAGTCCCCTGCCTTCAGGAAAATGAACCACCTGGACAGTCTATTAAGGTCTTGAGGAATGGAAAATCAAAGCCTTCCTTGGCCCAATCCGGTGCTTTACCTTAATAGCTTGGTAACACTATGCACTCAATCCCAAGTAGACTCAGAGTGGGGATGGGGTGTGGGACAGTGGACACAAAGTAGCTCTGAAGACCCCTTTCACTTCAGTGGACCATACAGAATCACTGAGTGGGTCCAATTAGACATCTTTCCTCCCTTGCCCTCTTATAGGATACCACTGCTAGGCCAAACTCCCGGAACATTTGAGTTTCAGCTAGCATATTTGAAGGTACACCTCTGAACAGAGAAAACACATGCAGGCACACAGAGCATTCCTCAACGTTAAATATATACAGTGAGATGTAACCTAGTAACCAATGCCCTATGAGTCCTGTTTCCTACAGGCTACCAGGGCCAAACTAGCCCACAAAGCCCATCAGTTTTTTTCTGGATTTCTCACCTAACCTGTAGCAGGCATCCTCAGCCATAAAGAGGTGCCAGCTACCCACAACCTCAGAGCCAACCTCAGGTGAAGAGTGCCCAGCTAGATGCCTTGGGCTTCCGGTTTCCCGTTGCACATCTGGCTTACCTTGAGGTGGGGTTCTGGGAGGCTAAACAGTAGGGACAGATTTCTTGAGGGAAGGTGGAAAGGAGGGAAGGATGAAATTCCCATTAGGATGGAGCTCAACTCAAAGCTTTCCAATGCCTTGTTTTCCCCTGTTCCAACTAAATTTTTTTTCTTCTTCTAAATTTAGATCTTTTCTCAATCCTGAGAATAAGCAAATGATGCCTAGCAATTTTCTGTGTGCTTTTGCTCTTCTTTTTCATTGTATTGATTCTCCCTCCACCCTAACTCTTGCATCTGTTCCCTATTCCCCATTCAATCAGTAATTTATTAAGCACCTACTATGAGCTCAACACTACATCAGGCAATTCACATGGCTACAACTCTAGTGTGAGACCCTATCACCTCTCCCATGGATTAATGGGTTAATAATGGGTTTCTAACTAGCTTCCCTGCCTCTAGTCTCTCCCTGCTCCAATCCATTCTGCACACTGCTGCCAAGTCAAGAAACATTTATTAAGTGCCTATTGTATGGCACTTAATAATCTTAGAAAGAAATAATCTTTCTAAGGCATAGGTCTGACCATGTCATGCCCCTGCTCAAAAACCTTCAGTAGCTCCCTATTGCCTTGAGGATCAAACACAAACTCCTTTCAATGTCATGTCCTCCACATTCTAGCTCTCAGCTATCTTTCCAGCATTTTGGGTTCTTACTAAACTGGACTAGCTGTTTCTGAAATCAGTATGCTTGTTGTGTCATTCCATTCATGTGGGCTCTCTCCCATGCCTCAAATGCATTCCCTCCTAATTTCTTAATCAACTTGTTTAATAGTTGTTCCCACATCTGGGAAGCCAGCAAAAACAATCTCTCCTTCAGGTTTTCCTAGGGTAACTTGTCTGGATCTCTCTTTCGTCCCAGTTACTTCTTAACTGTATTATAATCATCAGTCTATATGATGTATCTCAGGGCCTACGTCCCCTTTATTGCAAGCTCTTTGAGTTCAGGGATTGTGTGATCTTTTCCCCTTTATGCCCTTAGTTAAAGCGAAGACTTTTCCCAAGAACCATAGAAGGGCACACAATGGCCACTATCAGGTGCCAGACACAGCGTCAACAAGGACTTGTACTGGGAAAGGGATGTCATCAAAAAGATCCATGAATGGTAAAGTTAGGGGTCCAGGCTCTTAGGACAAGCAAGAGATCTAGAAGAAAGCTCCCAACATGCCAGTGCAGGATAATGGGAGCGTGTGGACAAGAGTCATATAGGGTAGTCAGGCATGGGAGGCTGTGATCTGCATCCTGCCCCTGGGGGACAGAGCGCCCACATGAGACCACATCATCAGTCCGTGGCAGGATCTCTGATACTAAAAAAATGTTTGATTTGAAATTGTTGAATGAGTAGAATGGTTCGTGAATGAATGGTAGACAGCCTGCTTCTAGAAATCTTAGCCCCTGGTTGATTCCAGTGGCTTCCCGACCTCACGAGCATTAGAGAATCATCCAGTTCAGGCCCTCTCATTTTTACACATGGTGCCACCACTGTGGACTTTTTATTAATTGGAGGAAGATGACCAGGGCTACATGAAAGGGACCTGCAAAACATGCAAATGCCTTTGTCAAGCTCTTCCTGCATGCTCACTTTCCTCTGCTTGGTTAAAATCTAACCAAGTTCTTGGGCCTCTGAGAGGAGGCTGGGTGAGCTTTTCTGCAGAGGCTACCCCACAGCGTGTGACTGCCTGGATCTTATCAGGGCTGCCCTTCTCAGAGGGACGCCAGTTTATGGGATCATAGAGCTCGAGCTGGAAGGGACCTCAGACATGAGGTCCCAGCCCCTCATTTTGGCATTAATTTTTACTGATATCTTCTGTTTTTCTGTCACCTTCATTTCCAAGTATATACCTCCTCCTTCCCCATTGCCTCTTTCTTTTCTCCTTTTGACAGTCATTTCTTGTAGCAAAGAATGAGAGAGAGAGAGTGAGAGAGAGAGAGAGAGAGAGAGAGAGAGAGAGAGA